ATCTTTTTTTATGTTGTCATTTATCCGTAATGTTTTAATGTTAAGTGTGATAACATGCTCTTGATTTGTATTAGATTTTTGTTTCTTTTAAATATCTTAAGTTATTTAAAATATTTTCTTTTTTCTTTTTTATATTTTTATTATCTTAAGTTGTTAACAATTCCAGATTTTTTATCATAATATTTATATTTAAGTGTATTCTATTTATACAATTTTATTTTGTCATTAATTATTTTGTATTTTTATCATTTTGTATTGTCTTCAGTTGTCCAAGTTGTTAAAAATGTTATTGTGTGTTGAAACGTAAGTGTGTGTTGTCTTTGCTCAGTGGCTCCATTCTTTTCTGTGATGCGCCGCCTTTTGTCTCTCAGAGCAGAAAAGAACTTGTCGTACCAGTGTCATTCTCACAAGTCTTCTCACTTGTCGCTGATAACTCCCAGCTAACAGGGAACGTTCTCAGAACTTGGACTGATGTTCTGGCAAGGTTCTATCAAAGTTATGAACAAACGTTCTGCCAGTAACGTTAATGGAATGTTCGTTCAACGTTATCGGGTTTTTAATAACGTTCTCAAAATGTAAGAGCAAAAACATCATTCACGTAACGTTTTTCGGAAACGCTCGTCTAATGTTACTGTTTCGGTTCCTGTAATGTTTTGTGTAACAAGAGGGAAAAAAAAAAAAGATTTTAAAACATTCGAACGTTCAGAGAAAATGAGAATAACGTTTTTATAGCGTTGCTTGGCTGCTGTCTGATTCTGAGCTGAAATATAATACTCAACACTCCACTGAAGCTCATTGGTTTTGTGTTTGAGTTTGTGTTGGAAACCATCAGCCATAGTGTGATGGATTGTCAGTTATGGTTTTATTTGAAGTTAAGCTTCATTTGATGCATGAATCTTTGAATCAAATACATAGTAAAGGTCCACATAAGTGTGAATATATCACGTCTAATACACTACGGCCAAAAGCCGTAGCTTGATTATATTGTTATAGGGTTGAGATCTTATACAATACAATTTATCTGTATCTTTGGTATTTACAAAGGAATGAAGACTAGTCGAGAAAATATGTCACGTCAAGCTTGTTAAAATCTGTTTTGCTTTGTCGTCTGATGATAAATGACAAAAGGTGTGTAAAAGAATGCAAATTATTTGGACACTATTCCTGGTCATGCACATGTGTGTAAGTTTGTGTTTTGTGTTTGAAGACACGGGAATTTCACATATTTGTCTTTTGTCTGGGTGTGAAACTTCAATCAATGCAGTCGCTTCATTGTCTAGGTAACCGTGTCAGAGAAACTGGTTAAGCAGCTCGATAACTTCTGTTGATCTATATCATCTATGCTGCAAATCTTAAATAAAATAACTAACACTCCAGACAAGGTTGAGTACAGTTATCTAAAATAGCAGTAACAGTGCCAAAAAGAACAAAATAAAGTTAGATGCTGAAATTCTTTCACTCGCACTCCTTTTCTGAGACCAAAGACTCGATTTATCATGTATGTTTGTTTATCTAGTTTGTCTTAAAATCAATAGACTCGAGGTATTTCTTAATGTTGCTCTTACATTTAATTGCCAACAACTGGAAACAACAAAGTAAATTGTCTAAACCTCACCTTGAGTAAATATTTGGAGAAGAGTTTGCACATACTATTGAACAAAGGCTGAAGGAGGAAGTGATGCACGGCATCTCTCAACTCTGACAGACTGCAATAACCCCTTTCTTTTACCATGGTAAACAAAATGTATGCCAAAATACCAATTACTACTAAAAGAACATGATACATTAGTATGGCATCACCTTCAAACGGTATACAATTAAAACATCTGAAAATGAGTTAGAGAGATTTATCAGTCTTTTTTTGGCTTTAATTATTTATTTGTTTTATTTTAAACATTGAAGTATATTTTGTGTTTTTACTTGTATTATGTTGGTTTTGCATAGTATTTTGGTGAAATCTTGGTATTAAGGTGGAAATACATTCACCTTTCTCTAATAAAACAGACATAAACGTGCCTTTTAAGCCTTAGTGTCAGACATGTCATAACATCTAAATATTATTTAATGATATTTATCTGTATCAAATTGGCTTCAAATTAACAACTACATATATTCACTTGTATGGGGCATTAAGTCAGAAAATGACCAGTGTTTGTCATACTCTTTTTCTGATGAAGAACTTGTCAATCAAGTGCATCGCTGCTCCTCCCTTTTGTCATAATAATGTATGTTGATTTTGCTTTTACGTTTGAATGTGCAAATGACGAAGTCTGAAGTAAAAAAAAAAGAATTAAAGTTAAAACCAGTGTGTCCAACCCTCCCGGTCCCGCCCTGAGTTAATAAAGTCAGGGAAGCTCTGACACCTCCATCATTTATCCTAAACTCCTAGAACATCTCACACACAGGTAAGAAACGCTTTAAACTTTCTTTACAAGTGGCTGTTAACCTGAATTTGCATGAATCCAGAGACAGATACGTGTAATGACATTGCATTATACAAAGATTTAACAGATGAGCTCTATTCAAATAATTAGAAATGGCTGATACGTATTTTGATTTTTAACGTCTAAAAAAAAAAAAAAATCTCAAAACTAACTGCACTTTTATGAGCTGTTTTTTTTAAATTTACCTTTAACTTTGTTTGCTTGAAGTGTTTGTGTAATCATTCATTAAAACAAATAGCATTTGCTTGGATATTTTTGTTTTATAATTCAAATACATTGATATATTTTTGATCGACTAAAGTGTCCAAATATTTGTCAGAGCTACTGTTTTTTTTTTTTTCTGTGTGTACCAATGCAAGTTGTTTTTTTATTATTTTATCTGAGTTTGATCTTAAATTATAAATCTTATTATGCATTGTATTGAATGCATATAATATAGCCTATCATTTGAATATATTGTATCTTTGGATTATAATTGAAACTAGTTATAAAAATAGAAATCAATTATGCATCATTTAATTTTTGGTACATTTAAAAAAAAATTTTTGTCTACTCTGAAAAAAAAAATGCTTTGTGTTATTGGACGGTGCAATCCTGTCCGAACGACCCAACTTTTCCAGAGCTACACACTATGGAATGACTAATGAGCCACTGACTTTTAAAGCATATATTAAAAAAAAAAGTTTTTAGTTGCAAAAATTGCATTTGTTATGCTCACACTTAGTTTTGAGGATGAATTTTGAGGATCTATCAAATTCTGTAATTTTACACTTCACCATAGTGAGAAGGTTGAATGGTTGCACTGTGTAGTATATACTGTGGTGTAACACTAGTGTGAACATACGAATTGTTCTAAGATTGCATAGATAGCGTCTTAGTTCCATCAAGCAAACAACCACTGCTGAGATAAAGAAATGAAAAGATATTAAGCAACACTCATTTTTAATGTTAAGGTTAAATTGTTAAAATGCCATAATATTTATCAATAATATATTACTAAATAAGCTATGGTAAATAAACTAAGGTGTTGATGAATTGAGGATCCAGGATCATGCTTGTTTGTGTCTGCGAAGGAATGATAAAAGATAATGAAAGACAAAGGGCCCTAGTTTAACAATCTATGCGCAAGGTCTGAAGCGCACGGCGCAGGTGCACTTAGGGTGTGTCCAAATCCACATTTGCTAGTTTATCGACGGGAAAAACGGTCGGCGCGCCCGGCGCATGGTCTAAAAGGGTCCCTATTCTCCCCTCTAAGCGCCAAAGTCGCAAAATTGCGACAAGACGTCATACTTAAAGGGGTCATATGATGCGATTTCAATTTTTCCTTTCTCTTTGGAGTGTTACAAGCTCTTGGTGCATAAAGAAGATCTGTAAAGTTGCAAAGACTAAAGTCTCAAATCCAAAGAGATATTCTTTATGAAAGTTAAGAGTCAGCCACGCCTACCTAAAACGGCTCGTTCTAACACGCCCCCACATATCTACATCACTATGTGGAAATATTAGCATAATGCAGCCCAAATGTGCAAGCAAAGAAAGAAGGCGTGGTTTCAGGAACGGCAGTTGTGTTGATGCAGCATGTCAGGGAGACGCTGTGTGATTCAGTGCGA